CTTTTGTTGCTTAACTTCAATGCCAATGTAGTATGCCATGAGCCTCATGTCTGTCATCTCGAATTCCTTCATCATCACATCCTTGAATTCGTTAAACATGCTTGGGTTGCTCCAGTGAAGATCAAACCATCCACGTAGAGGCACACAATCAAAATATCTCCATATTTAATCTTGATATATAGAACGTGTTCATAAGGACACTTGTTGAAGCCATTCTCTTGGAAGTACTTGTCGATTCGGCTATTCCATGCCCTTGGTGCTTGTTTTAGCCCGTAAAGAGCCTTCTTCAACTTCAACATCTTGTCTTCGTGCCCTTTGACTTCGTAGCCTGATGGTTGCTGAATGTAGACTTCCTCTTCAAGAACTCCATTTAGGAATGCAGACTTTACATCCATTTGTTGTATCTTCCACTTATTTTGAGCTGCCAAAGAAATGATTAGTTTGATAGTCTTCAATCGAGCAACATTAGCAAATACCTCATCATAGTTAATTATAGCCTTTTGACTATAACCTTTAGCAACTAGCCTCGCCTTGTGCTTTTCAATCTCTCCTTTGGTGTTTTGCTTTGTTTTGTACACCCATTTGACACCTATCGCCTTATGTCTCTTGGGAAGTGAGGTAAGTTCCCATGTGTCATTCTTCTCGATGGCCTTGATTTCTTCGTCCATCGCATCTCTCCATTTCTTTTCTTGTACCGCTTCTTGAAAGCTCACTGGTTCATAATCAGCAAACAAACAAAATAATGTAAGATTATCTTGTCGTTCAGTTACCTTATAGAGATCTCTAAGGCTTCTTGTACGTTGCACAACTCTTTCACTTTGACTCCCACTTGACGATGACGAAGGTGGTGAGTCTCTTTGAGTGGTTGATGTTGGTGAAGTGGGTGGAGTTTCAAGCTCTTATTGAGGTTCACCTAGTTGTTCCCTCGTTGTCTGCTCATCTGCTTCAAACTGAGGAAAGAAATTAAAGTCATCTACATGAGAGTTAAAATCCCATTCTCCTTAGTCGTTGAAGACCACATCTCGACTAATCACAAACTTCTTATTGTCTGGATTGTACAGCTTGTAGCATTTCGAATTAGTATCATAGCCGATGAAGATAAAACTCTCGCTTTTATCATCAAGCTTCGTTCTTCTCTCGTCTAGTACGTGAACATGGGCTATACTTCCAAAGGTTCTCAAGTGGGAAATGCCAGGATTTCTTCTACTCCATGCCTCTTGTGGTGTCTTTCCCCATACACTTCTTATTGGAGATCGGTTTGTCAAGTAGACTGCACACGCTACTGCTTCCGCCCAAAATTCCTTGGGTAGTTTCTTGTTTTTGAGCATGCTTCGTGTCATGTCGAGGATTGTTATGTTCTTTCTTTCTGCCACACCATTTTGCTGAGGTGATCTAGGAACTGTCATTGGTCGAATAATTCCATTTGCTTCACAAAACTCTTGAAACTCCCTGGAAGTAAATTCTCCTCCTCGATCGGATCTCATGACTTTGATCTTTCTACCACTTTCTCTCTCCACTGCTGCTTTAAACTTCTTAAAGACTTCGAAAACTTCTGACTTCTGTTTCAAGAATATACCTAGGTTTTTCTTGAAAAATCATCAATGAAGAGAAGAAAATAATTACTGTTACCGAGAGAGCTTGGCTTGATCGGTCCACACACATCGGTATGGATGAGCTCAAGTGGCTTCTTGGCTCTTGGCTCTGACTCCTTTGGAAAGCTTTTCCTAAATTGTTTCCCGACTAGACATCCTTCACAAAGCTGGTCAAGATGGTTGATGCAAGGTAGTCCCTTCACCATCTCCTTCTTAGATAGCAGCTCTAAACCTTCAAAAATGAGATGCCCAAATCGAAGATGCCAAAGCCATCATGCATCTTTGTAGCAAGCTTTCAGGCACTTTGCAACACCATTTTGTATGTTGATCAAGAATATTCTATTCTTTGACATCGACACTTTAGCAATGAAGTTATTCTTATCATATTTTATAGAAAGACTATACTTATTCATATGAATATTATAACCTTTCTCTACCAGTTGCCCTAAACTTAAGATGTTACTTTTCATACTGGGCACATAGTTGACATTTGAAATAAATTGATGTCTCCCATCTTTCAAACGGATAAGGATGTTACCTCTTCCTTTCATTCCTATTGTGGAATCATCTCCAAACGAAACATTTCCGCTTACTGACTTGTCTAGCTCCACGAACATGTATTTCCTTCCACGCATGTGATTGCTTGCACCACTGTCAAGATACCAGGAATTTGCTTGGCCACCATCAGTTTCCTTTTGTGCTAGAAGAAGAGTTTTTTTTCATATGTCTTTTTCTCCACGTAGTTGGCCTTCTCCTCAATTTTGTTTTTGGGAGCTCTACATTCTGAAGCATAATGCCCAAACTTCTGACAATTATAACATCGAACTTGAGATTTGTCATATCTTGAGTTCGGATTGATTCTTCCACGACCTCGTGTTGAACTTTCTCCTTTCTCATAATTGTTGTTGGAATTGTTGTTGTTGTAATTCCAGCCTCGTCCACGACCTCGACTTCCACCTCGTCCATGGCCTCTGCCTCTACCTTGACCACGTTGGTTTCTATCATTACGTTGACTTTCATGCATATCCTTGAGTTGCAGCTTGAGGAGTTGCTCAGTAAAATCATTCTTTTTCTTATGCTTCTCTTCGTATGCTTGCAATGATCATTGGAGTTGCTCAATCATCATTTCTTCTAAGTCTTTAGTTTCTTCAATCGTCACGACTATGTGCTCAAATTTTGGATCCAACGAACGGAGTATATTCTCTATTATCCTCACATCTTCCAACTTTTCACCATTCTTTTTAATTGATTAGAAATAACTACTACTCTTGAGAAATAATTTAAAATAGACTCGGATGCTTTCATGTGTAAGGATTCGAATTCACCTCTTAATGTTTGGAGACATACCTTCTTCACTTGCTCGGATCCTTTGTAAGAGGTTTGCAGCTTCTCACATGCTTCCTTGCTAGAGCTTGCACTCGAAATCTTTTAAAACCTTCATCATCTAATTCTTGATAGATGAGGTAGAGAGCCTTCTTGTCTATCTTTCTTGAATCCTTCAAAGTTTTCTTTTGATCTGGTGTAAGAGTAGCAAAAGCATCATCATCTGCAGGCTCGTTATAGCCTTTCTCTATGATATCCCACACATCTTGTGATTCAAGAAGTGCCTTCATTTTGATACTCCAATTGTCGTAGTTGTTGTTGTTGAGTGTCGGAACTTGGAATGGTGTCATACCATTTGCCATGTCTCTCAATATAATGACTTGATTTTCTGGCAGCAGTCTTCCAACGGTGCATGGCGGCGCGTCAGAACTCAGATTGGGAAGATTTTGGCGGCTGCGGATTCCTCTCATCGAGATCTTTGATATTTCCAACTCTCTCTCTGATGCCACTTTGTTGGAAATAAAACACTCTCACAAGCAACTTTTATTGAAACTCAAACAAATATTACAAGAGTACTCAATCAAAAAGTTGTTTGTGTGAGTGTTTTATTTCCAACAACGGAGACCTCAATCTCCATTTGTAATGATTTTTGGCTGCCAACTTCAACTCCCCAATTGATTGAGCCTTCGAGCAATCATCAAGTTTCTCAAGTGGCGGACCTTATTAATGAAGACTCAATGACATTGAAGGAAGAACTTGTGTTGAATTTGTTCAATGAGGAGGTGGGGAATTGCATCCTGGGAATACCTGTCTCAGTTTAAACAAGATGACTTAGGGTTTGGTGTGGTGAGAAATCGGGCGTGAATAGCGTTAGAAGTGGTTATCGATTGCTTTTGGAGGAAGATAGTGTTTCGCATGCAATGAAAATCGTTCTTAAACATTTATGGGTCTGTGCGTGTCAAAGGAAGATCAAATTGCAGGTTTGGTGATGCATCCATAATTTTATTCCAACTCGACAGTTTCTTTATGCTCGAAGAATCACTAATAATCCTATCTGCCAAAGATGTTCTGGCCACATTGAATCGAATCCTCATGAGATTGTGCAATAGCTCAGGAAGTGTGGAGGGAGATGGGAAACTCATGGAACGGGGTAGATCCATCACAGGATTTTGTGAATCGTTTATGTTGGCTGTTCAACTCTATCAATGGTCGAAAACATGCTGAGTTTTGTTATCGTTTGGGCCTTATGGTACACACGCAACATCTATCTTCATCAAGGTAAAGTTTTGAGGGTGGTTTTGAGGATATGTTTACATTTAATTAAAAAATCATTAAAGTATCATATCAATTATAAAAAGTTACACGAATGTAGTTCAGTAATTATAAAGTAATCATTAAACATCATGATTGAAAGACCAAGAGAGACTCCAAGCAATATTTATTAACTAAGATTATTCTGTCGTTCTCTCTTTTTCAGCTTTTCTCCGTGAATGGACAAGGAAAAAAAAGACAAAGATATGGTGGAACTGCTAGCACACAAGAAATCACAAAACAAATCCATCTTTTTCAAACTTTTAACAGCAAAAGTAAATGGATTGAAAGCGAAAACCCAGTTCCCTCATAAGCTGTGATTTCATGTCCTTTTGTATGAATTTGGAGATAAAAGCTTTATGATGTAATTTTCCTTGCTTGCTTTGGCTCCCCTAGTTGTCTTCTTCCTCTTGACCGCTCTCTCAAAAGCCTTCCCTTTTAAATATATTTGGTTGTGGTGGGTGATCTGAGATCGAGGTTAATAATAATATAAGGTTCATTCACCGCTGTTCTGCCTTCTTTCCCTTTCTTTTTTTCCTTTGGTTTCTGCACAACCCCTTTGCCTCCTTCAACGTCCCATCGTTTTATCGGAGAGCGACATTTCCTTCACAGTTTGTGCTCTCAAACCATCCTCTTGTTCTATAATATGTAACAGCTTCGTCTCAAGTATTCTTACCTCCCTTTTTTCTTCTTTCCATCAAAATCGAAATGTTTTGCAGACACATCTTCATCGTATTTTCCCTGAGATCTTTCTTAATCTTCCTTGTTTTTGTAATGATTTTAACCACAACCCATGTGAGTTACAAAGCTGAAGGTATTCATCACTCTATTTCATATATTTCCAACATTTTTTGAAGCGATTTTTCCTTTGATTCCCAACTGGTTCTCACTGCAGGTAAACCAAATCTCACATCTGCAAACAGCTTTTCCAAGGTGAGCTTACTCAAATTTTCCTTCAAAAAAAAAAACTATGCTTCGATTTGTTTCTGAATTTGTGTTGTGAAGTTGGGTATAGACGATAAATGAAGAGAAGGCGACGTTGTTGAGGGGTCAGATAGGTTCGAGGCCGCCTCGATGCGAGGGAAGATGCAGTTCTTGCGGGCACTGTGAAGCCATTCAAGTGCCTGCCAACCCGCAGGTCCAACATGGAAACGACCATTCTTCGACGTCCAACTCCGATGTTTCTTTTGCAAGAAAAGGCGGAGGCGGCAACTCTAATTACAAGCCCTTGAGCTGGAAATGCAAATGTGGCAACTTCATCTTCAATCCCTGAACATTTATCATGGTTCCCAGAACAGAATCTTAGGTTGTTGAGCGCACCTGTCTTTGAACCCTGTAAATCCGTCTGTAAGAGAATTACATATTTGATGGTTTGTCAGAATGTTCGGAGTGTACTAGTAACTATATATTATCTGAAAAGTGATCTTATCAAGAAGACAAAATCTGGGTCTGAAGCCTCGGATGCAGAATATCCATGGCATATGCAAGCTAAATAAAATAAAATATTGCTTTGTTTTCTTTTAAGTGAATAAAGCAGGAAAGTTGATGGGATATTTCATTGGCATTGCATTTTATCTCGTTGTCCTTTTGATCAGACATGACATAACAAGGACAAGTTCCATACGTTTGCAGGTCCGATTTTTTCTGTTTAAATCAGATAAGTATTTTATGCACAAAGAATTATATATTTTGATATAAGATATAGGCTTTCCATTTGCTATATATAGGTATTCATGGTAATTGAAAATTTTGGTAACCCTTTTAATTTAAATGCTTTAATTGTTGTCCAGATAGAGAAGTCTGCATGTGAAATGTTAAACCTTGGGAAAGAATAATAAGGTGGAAATGGGGTCACGGGGGAAGATGGATCTCAACCCCATCACCTAAATAAAATAAAACACTCCAAACTCCAAAGCTTAATGGGAATGTTTTTGTTGCAGAGTCCAAGACAGACAACTGAGAAACCCCATAAAAAAAGAACACAATGAACTAGTTTACAGTAAAAATCTGATGCACACGACTGCCCAAAATTCATGGATCCTCAGATTTTTCTGTTGCTACATTTTTTTCTTTATCAACACACATATGTATTCGTTCGTTTATATAAAGGCTTAATGTTGATTAACTTTTCTTGAAAAATCTTGGCTTAATTAGAAATAAGTGTCCAAGTTATATTGGATTTTTCAAATATGTGTCCAAAGTTTTTTTGATGCATTTAGGTGTTTATTGTTATAAACGTTATCATTTTAGTTGTTTGGTCCGTAACAAACGTTAAATTCCATTGTTAAGTGACATACGGTCTGTTCAGGTAATTCTGAAAACTTTATTTTAAATAAAAAAAACTTAAAATTATACTTTTTAGAGAAAAAAAAGTCCAAAAACCTCCACTGGCGACCAATTATCTGACGAACAACCATCATATCATTAGTCAATGAACCCTAAATCACGACGAATAAATCTACCACAACAAATGTAAAATCACAACTCCACGTCAACCATCGCGACTCCACAACTAGGACGACGACATCTGACTAGGGAGATGATAAGGACGATGCCAACGATGGTGGTCAGAAAGAGAGGTAAGGTGAGAGTTAGGATTAGGATTAGGGTTTTTTAGTTTTTTTTTTTTGCAATTTCAGATAAATTAGGGATTTTTATAAATATAATAAATTTTAAGTTTCTTTAAATATTTTTTTAAATTATCAGAATACGATACGTGTCACTTAATGGAGATTTTTAACATTGTTACGACCGATGCAACTAAAGTGGAAATGTTTGTAATGTTAAGCACCTGGATGAATCGTAAAATAATTGGGGCACCTATTTGAAACAAGGATATAATTTGGACACTTATTTTATGATTAAGCCAAAAAAACTTATGTTTTTTAAAATTTTATTTATTTAATATAGTTTTAAATTAAGAAAAAGATTAACTTAATCCTTTAATCAATGAAACTAAATGTTAAGTATACTGACGTGATATCATCAAACCAATTACTATCAACAATATTTACTAGCTCTACATCTCACACCGGAGATAATGAAAAGAGTTTCAAGGTCTTTTTTTTGTACAAAGAGTTTCAATGTCTTTTTTTTTGTTGAAAAAAGCTAAATGGGCCGCCTAGCTTCCCGTTTTATCTACTAGCAGCATATCCTCGACTTCTTTAGGGCATTCTTTCAGAAAAATGGAATCTTCATGGTGTTTCCACATCTGCTTAGTGACGAAATCGACGACTCGATTGGCCTCTCTAGGTACGTGATGCAGTTCTACAAGCCAGTTCTTCTTAAGCATTTCCTCAATGTGTTGCAGAATGGTAAATTTCCTATGTGTGCTCGATCTATTCTTTATTAGATTGATAGCTTCACTGTTATCTATTTCTAAAATCATGCTCCTCTCTCCCCTCAACCAAGCGATTCCTAATCCCTCATGGATTCCCCATAACTCTGCTTCTAAAATAAAAAAGATCCCTATCTTTTTCCCAGAACCCCACCGCCAATTACCATTGTAGTCCCTTGCAACAACCCCACACATAGCTTCTCTATTGATTTGTCTTTTGGTTTCATCTGTGTTTATTTTGCAGTAATTGATTGTTGGTTTTTGTCATTTGCATCGAGCATTATCTCTGATCTGTATACTTCCAGCATTTGTAGTCTCAAAATTCTGCAAATCTTGGGTCAGACTACTAGCTTGTTGGATAATCGAACCCTTTCAATCATCTCAGGATCGAAAATCATTTGATTTCTTCTCTTCCATATGTACCAGATTACTAAGCTGAAAAAACTTGGCCAATTCGTGATTCTTGGCGACGGGGACTGAGTTTCTTCAAGGTTTTCAATGATTCAGTCCTTGAGGATGCAGTTCAGAAAGTCGTCTATCTTCTGGGGGTCGATCAGGTCAGTCCATATTGCCATTGAATTAGGGTGGTACCTCAGCAAGTGATTAATATCTTCAGCTTCATAATTGCACATAGGGTAACTTGCATCCATAGTTATATGTCTTCGAGCTCTTTCCGAGTTAGTCAGAATTCTATTTCTTCCAATTAGCCATAGGAAAGTTCAACTCTGGGAATGTTTTTATGCTTTTCTATGATGCCCCAAATCTTATCTTCCATATCATTATTAATATTTGCAATCCACTTATATGCAGATTTGACTGTAAAGACCCTATTCTCCAAGGGAATCTATCCCAGGGAGTCTTCAATGTTCTCATCTACTAGAGGGGGTGGTTTTCAGCATATTAATGGCTTGAGATTGCAGCAGCAACATAAGTTTGTTCTAATCCCATTTTCCATTTTGGTTAATCAATTCCTTTATTTTTGAATTGTCATTTTCCACCTCCAACGGTTGGTTGCAGAATCTGGACAGAGGGCCATTATGATCAAGCCATATGTCATGCCAGAAGCTAATATGTTTACCATTTCCAACATTCCAACAAATGTTCTGCTTGAATTTAGTCCACAAGGAGCATATGTGATTCCATAAAGGTGATCCTCCCCTTTTTTAAAGCTCTTCAGGTAGAATGTCTTTCATTTTGTATTTGCTTCTCATTACCTGCACCCATAAAAGATCAGTTCGGTTAGTAAGTTTGTAAGCTATTTTAAAAATGAAGGCCTCATTTTGGAATCTAAGGTTTTTTAATCCTTGACCCCCTCCTTTAATAGGTTTACAAAGATTATCCCAGTTCACAAGGTGTACTCCCTTTTGCTCATTCAAGTTTCCCCAAATAAAATTTCTTGTAAGTCTTTCAAGCTCATTGCAAGTTCCTTTGGGGATTAAAATTGATTTCATGGTGTATGCAGGGATCGAGTTGAGAACAGCCTTGGCAAGAATGATTCTTCCAGCTAGTGATAAAGAGTTAGCTTTCCACCCTGTCAATTTGTCCTTCACTATTTGGGTGATGTTGATGTATGTTCGTTTATTAATTCTGTTGTGCAGCAGGGGAACTCCAAGGTAATTTCCAAGGTTCTCAATCTCCTTGATACCAATCAAATTAGAAATAATGGTTTTGGTCTGGGCATTGACATTCTTGGAGTAGTATATATTAGATTTCTCAAGGCTAACTTTCTGTCCCGAGCTATTGCAGAATTTGTTGAGTGTGTTCTGGATAATTCCAATTTGAGTGTTGTTAGCTTACGCAAATAATATGAGGTCATCTGTAAAAAAAAGGTGAGATATGTCATGTCAATTTCTAGATAATTTAATAGGTTTCCACCTCCCTTGATTCACTATTAAAGCAATCTCTTGAGCTAATCTTTCTATACAGATGACAAAGAGATAAGGCGAAAGAGGGTCTCCCTGTCTAATGGCCCTGGAAGGCTGAAAGGGTTCAGTAAGTTCCCCATTCCAATTAATTTGAATAGTATTGGAAGTAATGCAGTTCATAATTGCCACACTAATTTTATTTGGCAGCCCCATCCTTTCGATGTTGTCTTTAATAAAATACCACTCTAATCTGTCATAAGCTTTTTCAAGGTCTAGTTTGATGGCCAAACACCCTATTTTACCTTTCTTCTTCTTCATCGAATGGATCACTTCTTGAGCAAGGATAATATTGTCAGTAATAACCCTGCCCGGGATAAAACTAGTTTGACTGTTGGAAATCATAGTAGGGAGAATAGGCTTAAGACGGCTGGCAATAACTTTAGTAATTATTTTATAGATCACTTGGCAAAGACTTATAGGTCTAAACTGGTTTATTTTCTCAGGCTTAGGCACCTTAGGGAGTAAAACAAGACTAGTTCTATTTACGGTTTCCTCAATCTGACCACCATTAAGGCACTTCTTGATAAGAGAACAAACTTTTTCTCCAACTATATCCCAATTCTTTTAAAAGAAATTTGCATGAAATCCATCAATTTCGGGCGCTTTGAGAGGACCCATACTGAAAAGGGCTTTTTTGATCTCATTGTTCTCAAACGGTCTATCAAGCCAATTTCAATGATCTCGAGTTAAGTTAGGAAAAGGCTTACTGTTATCAAGAGAATGTCTGATCAAAGGGTCACTAGTGAACAACTTCTCATAATAATCATTGACATGATTTTTGAGCATATTTTGATCCTCACACCAAGTGTCAGAATCCGTTTTGAGGGTTGTAATCAACTTTCTTTTACCTTTGGTGATTGCTCAGGAGTGAAAATACTTAGGGTTCTTATCACTGTGGTTAATCCATTTACATCTAGCCCTTTGAGCCCAAAGTAATTCTTCATGTCTCAAAATAGTGTCAAGTTCAGTTTTGAGTTCTGACTCGAGGGCTATCAATTTGGTTGAATTATATATGCGAAGAGCTTTGTCAATACCTTTCATTCTAGCAATAATTATTTTCTTCTTTTGATTGATGCTACCAAAAACCTCACTATTCCAAATTTTAATACTATGCTTAAAGTGATTGAGGTTGTCTATAAGACCGTCTTGCTTAACCCATTCTTCTTTAAGAAAATTCCCAAAGTCAGGATGATCCATCCAAGCAGCCAAAAATCTAAAAGGTCTATTAATATTCCCATTGAGGTTATTCATAGTCTGAAGGAGAATGGGACAGTGGTCAGACCCAAGTCTATCAAGATGATGAACAATAGTGGCAGGGTAGAGCTCAATCCACATCAAATTAGTAATGCACCTATTGAGACGTTGCCAAAGATTACCTCGACGCCAAGTAAAGTCATCTCCTTGGTAACTAACTTCAAGCAATTCATTATTAAATATAAAATCCTGAAAATGCTTACTCCCACCTCTATACCGAATACTGCCGCCAATTCTCTCTTCAGGTCTAATAATGCAATTGAACCTCCTAGGATCCAGGGCTCATCATTGCTAGGCTTGATATTATCCAGAAAATCCCATAATTTACATCGAACATTAGGGTTGGGGATAGCATAAACAATTATAAAATAGTTCCAATCGTTATTGTTGAGCCCTCTGAAATGAGTATGAACATACTAATTAGAGACGCTTAAAATATTCACTTCTACTAAGTTATCCCAAAGCACCCAGATACCACCGCTATGCCCCTACGCTTCAATTCTGAAAGAGTTATTGTAACCCATGTTGTTGACAATACTATCAGCTCTTTTACCACTCGTGTGAGTTTCCATCAAAGCAATAATCTTAGGCTTGTGCATAATAACACATTCCTTAAAATGTCTTTTAAAAGAAGGTTTCACAACCCCTTGTGTGTTCCAAAATAAGAAATTCATAGAAATGGAGCTAGGATTGGTTACTATAAGACGAATCTTTTTCCTTCTGAACAAATTCTTGTATATGGCTCTGATCATCATGATCTAACATTCGAATTTGATCGGTTGTAGATGTGTTGTTGTAAGGCGGGGCCAAAATCTCCGAGTTCATAGTATTCTCTTTGATTCATTCCGAAAGAAAAGGAACATTAGGGTTGTTAGGAGTTTTGGGCTTTCTGACTTTAAGACCTTTCTTTGCAATGATAGAGATAGGATTTGGCTTCTTGTTAAAATTCCATCTAGATGTGGGATTTTGATTGTTGTTGTCCTCTTGAATGATTATAGCTAAGTTTCAATGTCTTTATGTGTTCACATATGTAGTTTAAGCAAGAATGTGTACCCCAAACACTTCCTTGAGTTTTATTAATTAATTATTTAAATTGAATATAATAAAAATTTATTACGGAGTAATATTTTAGTCTAACTTATTTTATTCAAAATATTATATTTCAAATTAAAGATGATATGAATGCCAATGAGTGTTGGCACAAGTGATTGAGATTCAGGAATTTAAACTTGTAAGGACAAGTTCTAAGTCTACCATTGTACCTCTTGGTATGTAATCTGTAAATTCCTATGTAAATCACAATTGAGTCTTAGGTATGTCATGACCTTGGACTGAGGGAGCCACCCATGACCTAAACTTTTTTCTAAAAAAAATGATATGAATTATATCAAATTGATTATTTATTTTAAAAATAGATTTGTTATTTAAAAAAAAAAAACTAGAAGGTGTCATCAAGTTAATAATTTAAATATATATTAATCTATAATAAAAATGTCCCAATATATCTCTTAAAACAAGCCGTTGGATATCATGAGGTACTAAATCTAGAACTGAAACTCGATTGTGGTCAAGTATAAGCTTCTTGTGTAGGCTGTTGGCCACCATCTTGTGGGATCTAAAAAAGTTTCGTAAATCAAGCTTGATTTCAAATAGACGACGCGACTTTTACGAGAGAGAGGGTTGGAATTTGCATTGGGGGACAAGGACTAATTTTACGACTTCAGCACAATCAAGTTGTACTTGAAGTCGTTCTAAATTATCCATTAAAAAAGTCGTTCTAGGGACCATACCACTTGAAAACCAGTGTAGAGCTCAACTTGTAGAGACGTGACAATGCAAACAATTTTTCAAAAACCAGCGACCCAACTGTTATCGTTATATCAAACAGGATCTAAATGAAATATAAGATTTAAACCAGACTGAAGAGAAAGAATAAAAATAAATAATGAAAGAAACAAAGGTACAGCCGTACAAGCTTTTTGAAAAAGTATGGAACAAATTATTGACATTGAAAATGTTGGATGCATAGTGGGGAATTAATGTTCATTTCAGAAAAAAAGAAGCCTTGGAAACTTCCACCAAGTTGTCCCAAAAGACAGAAAGAAAAAACAACCAGAAACAGGGTGGGGGGGGGGGGGCAAAACATGACTTTGTGGTCCTTAATTTTACTAGTTCAAATGTCCTTGTACATCAAAGTCGTCAAGTGGTTGCTTGATGATAATCTATATTTATATTCTATAACCATTCAATTTGCCAGCGTTTAAACAAAATTATTCTATTTTTTAGTGTTAATAAGTATAATGATAATGTACTATTAGAATAATAATCCAAATGTATTTAGATTTGGATCATAATATATTTAGATATAATTTTTATATTAAATGACTAAAACTAAAATAATATGAAGAATAATTCACACATAATTTATACAATATAAATTCGAACACATCATATATATATATATATATATATATATATATATATATATATATATATATATATATATATATATATATATATATATATATATATATGTATATCATAGTAATGAATAATAAATTTTAATTTATCCAAAATAATAATAATAATAAAATTTTAATGTATATATATTAGTTTGCTAAAACATATATTGAATGCTAGATTAATAAAAGTTCACACCTAAAGTTTATTTTTATTTCATTTTAGTACCCGCCATTAAAAACTTAACACTTTTAGTATCTAAACTATTAGTTTTGGCCCGTTTTAGTACCTAAACTTTCAATTTTTTTAAAATTTAACGTTAAATTTTGAACGAGGGTAATAAAATGAAACAAAAAATAGAGTTTTTCACAACGGGTACTAAAATGAAATAAAACCAAACTTTAGGTTTATTTTGAAAAAAACTTGAAAGTTTAGATACTAAAACAAACTGAAATTGACAGTTTAGATATTAAATCTGTAATTTACCCTAAAATTTTAAAAAATAATTTATAGTTCAACTACTGAACATGAATTAAAATAAATTAACTGAAAAAACAAACTATCATTAATCTAATAATCACATTTTCTTACAATTATATCACCATACCCTTTAACATCAAACCAACAGCCTGGTTCCATTACTAAATAGAGAACGCCTGGAGATACAAAAGTAAAATTTTGATATGGTTTCTCGAGTTCATCACATGAACATCAGCAAACCCTGTCGTAGGGTTTTCACAAGATCATTTAACGTCATCGAAAACCCAGATTCCATCTGCAATAACCATGAACAATGTCAAGGGTTTTGTAAATAATATCCACAGCAGTTTGAAGTTTGAACAAAATTCGAAGAGCCATATAAATTTGCAACAAGGCTGTAAAAGATTACCCGAGCAACAATGGTTATATCAAGAGCAGCTTGTCCAAAAGGGAATACATTGCTATTAATAACCGACAAATGAAGCTTTTCGACTTCGTTAATGATGCTTGATATGCACCCTTTGTTTGTCTGGCAGTGGATTCTTATCAGCACATCTTTGTCCAAAATCCTTGCTTCAATCTCGGGATATTGGCAACCATGGCTATCATCTTCATGAAATTGGGTTTTCTTCACAAATTTGATGGATTCAACTGTTCTCTTAGCAACTTGTTCCTCCAGCGTTTCCATTCGCTCTTGAAGTTGCTTCAAGTATTCGATAGCGTCTCCCAGAATTGAACTTTTGTCTTTCGGCGATAATATATAGACCTATAAGATCAGCATATAACAGTAATCTTCATGTAAAGAGTTGGAAATTGTACCTTTTTGAGGCCAGTAATGAGTGCAGAAAGAGATAAGAAGCTCTGGGCGATCTTTTCACGGCGTTTTCTTTCAGCAATTACATGTTCTTGTGCATGTAATGGAGTCCTTGTATTTCCTGCAGGTTGCAAATCACGGTCCAGGCCGTAGTATTGGCGAGAAATAACCGGGGGAGATGAATTGGAGTGTTGGAAGGAGATTATATGGGAAGATGATGAACAAGAAGAAGCCATGGTGGGATGGTTCCACTTGTTGAACTTGACTTGCTTTAATGGTGGCTTCTCGAAGTCGTCGACGGCCTGATGATGAAAAGCTTCATCATTAATGGATGAATAGTAGCTTTCAGACTCGAAACCCATGTCATCGAAAGGGTTCATCGTTTGATATTGTGCGAAAAACAAGGGATTCTCCATTTTCTGTAAATCAAACATAACACCCATTTCCATTAAAGAAAGCACCTGAAATCTTAGAAATCAAGCCACCAAAGAAATTAGAAAACAATGAAAGACCCAGTAATTAAAACGAATCAAAGCTAAGCACCTTAAAATGGACGAATATGAAGTTCAATTATTAAGGAAAGCTACAAAAATCTGCCAATAATTAGGGGGAAAGTCAGCATGGAAGTTGAAAATTGAAAGCTTACCTTGAAAAAAAAACAGAGTGGAGTGTAAACAGCAGTGTTTTAATGGAAATAATTAGGGCAATAGATAAATGTGTGTACCGTACGCGCTTCCAACTATTTGGCGTTCTCGCAAATGTGAAAATTCGAAGCTCTCCACTTCATCATTTGAATTTAATATTTGGATTTAGAATATAATATAAAATTATATATTTCACTACATTTATAACAATGAATTTGTTTTGAAACTTTTATATATATATATATATATATATATATATATGTTTCCTTGAATTCTATAATAATTATTTCATTGTTTTCTAAAAAAAATAGTTTAAGGTTTTTCTTAGTCCTTCATAATATACATACACTTTAAAATGTAGTTGTTCGGATACAAACTCTCTAAAAAATATTATTCTTTTTTTACTATTGAGATCGTTAAATGATATTTTTATGATGAAATTACAATTAAGGTTTAGTGACAAGATCTAAAGTCATAAGCTGCATGCAAAATTAATCAGGAACCTAAAATCAAAACACAACGTTGGTGTGGGTCAAAGATGGTTCCACTCTCCACACGGCTGACCCAGACAAAACCCTACAATCTTCGTTTGATTAATTACCCCCAAACATATGCGGATGTAGAATTTTTTTTTTTAGGATTGACACACATATTAATAATACAAATTTTTTAATACAATAAAATTTTAGAGTGAACACCATAGAATTTCAATGTAAACACACATACATTGATGAAGAAATTTTTGATTTTTAAAAAAGAAAATTCGAATTCCAGAAAATTTCAAGGTGAGCACCTACCCATCGTAATATCAACGTGGATCCGCTACTGTCCAAAAAATCTGAAATTTGATAAACTAATCACCTAATATCTAATTTTGGAACCGCTTCTGTTGTGTTTTCTTTGTCACGGTGGTTGAATAGACTGTCCAAGTTTAAAGATTTTGTAGTTTGTTTTTAAGATTTGGGATCACTTTAAGATATTGTAGTTCATATATAATTTCAAATGGCAATTTTATAGGCCTTGAAACACATTAGCGTGGCTCACAAATTAAGGGTTAAGATTTCCACATCGTCAGCTAGAATATAATTGTTAATTTTATTCAAATATTTTTTTCAAATTCTAAATATAATTATAATCCTACTTAGAAGGGAAGAGACACTCCAGGGAAAGAAGGATAATGTTTGTAGTGAATCTAAAACTCATGACCTAAAAATATATAAGGAACCAAAAATGAGCGGTTTGAGTAACCGGTCAAATTTTAAATTCGAACATAATGTACATTCAATATATTTTATGATCCATTTTAGATATATTGATTTTCCTATAATGAGTATTATTAGATACACTATTAATATAATAAATAATACTTATTTTTATAGTATATTTAAAATCATTAATTATAGCTAATTGCAATATAGAATGAATTTATGAAAAAATACCATAAAACATAATAACAACATTTTATTTGTATACTGTATACTAGAAAAAAAATATATTTTTTAGATGAGTTGTCTCCTTACCAAAATGATATCTTGTTACTTTGCAATTTGCATAGATTCCCTCTTTCACTTGATTTTTCAATAAAAAAAAGAGAAAATCACCTCAGTGACCAAAAATGTCTTATAATATACGATTTTAATCAACTTTTTTTGGATTTGCCAAAATGACCAACAAAATCGCAACGCGATATAAAAATCGCAACGCGATTTAGAAAATCGCAACGGTCAAAAGAAAATCGCAACGCGATCTTCCAAGAATCGCAATGCGAGCCAAAGAATCGCAATGCGATTCCAAGAATCGCAATGCGATCTTCGAAGAATCGCAATGCGATTCAAAGAATCGCAACGCGATTGAGAAAATCGCAACGCGATTCCAATAATCGCAACGCGATTGAGAAAATCGCAACGCGATTCCAAGAATCGCAACGCGATTGAGAAAATCGCAATGCGATTCCAAGAATCGCAAAACGGCAAAAGAAAATCTCAAAAGCAGTAGAGTTGTTCGTATTGCATTTGTTTCTTAAAAAATTTCTCTAAAAAGATAGTATCCGCGCGGACGTGTCGAAGACACGTATTACCACGACCACGACCACGACCACGACCACGACCACGACCACGACCCGAGACGAGACGGCGGCGGCGCGCTAGAGTCCCCCTTGTTCTCTTTCACTCAACAAGGAAATGAGAAATCCAAGCCTTAAATACACTTCCCAATAGTGTTTCCAATACTATGTGGGATTGAACATTACCAACAACCTTCACATGTCAACCTATTTTGTGTGCTTAATTTGACTGTGCCATTCACTAAAATTGTTGGAGATTAGTTCATTTGAAGAAGTGTAACTAATAAACCATAAGCCAAGTAAATTGCTTTTATTTGTCGTGAAATGATGTTCCTGCAACCTTTGGTGGAACTTTGGACCTTGTAATAAACTTGAACTATGCTTCCAGTTCCATCCAGTAGAGAATTTAAAATCATAACTTGTAACTTTATCTCCAATATCACAAAGCAACAAAAAATCTACAAGAAATTGATCAGCTATGAGGAGAGTCTTGAATGTAGAATTGTTGTGTATAAATCCACATGTATGCATAACCGAGTAGAAATTATATTTGTATACGGCAACCCACCCTTTTTCACTAAACAAAACAATTTTGGCATACCAAATGAACTAATCTCTCTTATAGTCACACTCAAGCTCTTAGCAAAATAGGTTGACATGTGAAGATTGTTGGTAATGTTCAATCCCACATAGTATTGGAAACACTATTGGGAAGTGTATTTAAGGTTTGAATTTCTCATTTCCTTGTTGAGTGAAAGAGAACAAGGGGGACTCTCGCGCTCCGCCGCCGTCTCGTCTCGGGTCGTGGTCGTGGTCGTGGTCGTGGTCGTGGTCGTGGTCGTGGTCGTGGTAATACGTGTCTTCGACACGTCCGCGCGGATACTATCTTTTTAGAGAAAATTCTTAAGAAACAAATGCAATACGAACAGCTCTACTGCTTTTGAGATTTTCTTTTGCCGTTTTGCGATTCTTGGAATCGCGTTGCGATTTTCTCAATCGCGTTGCGATTCTTGGAAGATCGCGTTGCGATTTTCTCAATCGCGTTGCGATTCTTTGAATCGCATTGCGATTCTTGGAAGATCGCGTTGCGATTTTCTTTTGACCGTTGCGATTTTCTTTTCAACATTGCGATTTTCTAAATCGCGTTGCGATTTTTGTTTCGCATTGCGATTTTGTTGGTCATTTTGGCAAATCCAAAAAAAGTTGATTAAAATCGTATATTATAAGACATTTTTGGTCACTGAGGCGATTTTCTCTAAAAAAAATCTTAAAATTTTGGATAAATTATGTATTTAGTACCTAAACTATCATTTTTGATATGCTTAAGTACCTAAACTTTTAATTTTTTAAAAATCATACCTAATGTTTAGTTTTTGTTTCATTTTAGTACCCATTGTTCAAAACTTAACGTGTTTAGTACCTAAACTATTATTTTTAGTCCTTTTAATACCTAAACTTACAATTTTTAAAAAAAATTAACGTTATAACTTGAACATGAGTACTAAAATGAAACAAAAACTAAAATTTAGGTATGATTTTAAAAAAATGAATGTTTAGGTACTAAAACAAACCAAAACTAATAGTTTAGGCACTAAATACGTAGTATACCCTAAAATTTTGGCTTAATGCCTAAATAAGTGGACAAACTATACCTTTTGTGCCAAATAAGTGTCTACGTTTTTTTGGCCCATCCGAGTGCCTAACATTACAAATATTAATACTTTAGGTGTCCGGGCCATCAATGACGTTAGTTTTTCTGTTAAGTGACATGTGTCACAACATGGTAATTTTTAAATTTTTTTAAAAAATATTAAAAATATTATTATATTTATTAAAAGAATAACTTTTCTTATATTATATAAAACAACCCAAAATCTCAAATCCTAACCTCCTTAATCCATCGTCGCCGCCCTCTTCGACCACGACCACCTCCGTCAACGTAGTCCTTGTCATCGTCCTAGTTATATGTCGATGAAGTTGTTACCAATTCACCGTCGGAATTGCATGAGATTATGATTTTATCCTAGGGTTCGCGGGTTGATCAGTCACGATTTCATAGGGGTTTTGGTCGCCGGGGGAGGGGAGGTTGGGTGGAGGTTCTTCGACGGCAAAAGGTAGCGGTCAGCGTGGGTTGAGGGGTTGAAACAAAGGTTTTCAAAGTTTAGGGGTTATTTCAAAATTTATGTGTGTGTGTTTTTTTTAATACATAATTTTATTTTATTTTAATTTTATATAAAAAATTTTAAATTACTAAATTGTGACACGTGTCACTTAACATGAAAAACTAACGCCGTTGGCGGTCTGAGCATCTAGAGTGCTAACGTTTGTAACATTAGGAACCCAGATGAGTAAAAAAAATGTAGGCACTTATTTGGCAAAAAGGTATAGTTTAGGCACTCATTTGGACATTAAGCCTATTGTTTATATTTTATTAATAAAAACTATTTCTCTTTTCAATAAAGCAAAAACGATAAATTATATATCATTTCCAACACAATAAAAATTAGTAAACAACTATTTTGAGGCACGTATGAAATTACAAATGTATTGTATTATTTGAGACACATATTAAGATTTTATTTTATTTAAAATTGTAAATCTAATTAGTAAAAAGATACATGTGATTCCGCTTTCGTCAATTTCGGAAGGTAGAATTTTTCTTTTTTTAAATTAATTACTGAATATATGATCTATTAATCGACTAATCCAGATCGAGTATTGCATAAGCTAGAGTGACCCTCCCAACCCAATTTGTTCCATTCGCAAACATTAGGATTTGAACATCTGACATTGCTTAAAGAATCTAGTGTCTCATCCCACTATACCAACTGATTCTCGTAGAGTGCAAAATTTTTAAAAACTACATATAATATATGAGATTGATCAATAATTATATCAATACCGTAAATGATCATATTAATACTACAATAATTAATATTTAATATTTTTAACGAAACTAAAAATTTAAAGATCGTGTTAAAAATAAAATATATTTAAATCGCATTAAAATTTTTCAGAAAAATTTAAATACCTAAGATATATTAAACCTATTATAATTGATTCACTGTGTAATAAATATTTATATATGAGTCATGATGCTTTGAATTAATATACTAAATTGTCACCTCAAACCAGAAAATGAAATCGCTAAAAATATGGAATTAATATACCTAAGATAATTCTTTTTTTTTTCTTATAAAAAAACTTCATATCTTTCACGATTAATCACATATATCAATTTTTAATTATTTAATAATTGGGTAAAGTACATAATTGTCCCCGTACTATAAGGTACCGCTTTGTTGAGTCCCTCGACAATCAAAAGTTACAAATTGGTCCTCTGACTATAGGGTGTTGCTTTGTTGAGTCCCTCGACAATCAAAAGTTACAAAATCGTCATCCGACTATTCATTATGTTATAAACTTATATTTTTCATTGAAAAATCAACAGTTTTCTAAATTGGACGTTAACATGATGAGTGAAATTTGATTAGCTCCACGTCCAAATTGCCGTACCAAAAAAAAGAAGTGTTGAGTTTGATGTTAGTACAAACTAATTGTCAATTTTGTCTACAAACTAACATACAAAAATCACATTATATGAATGAATAAATAAGATAAGGTTTTGTCTTTTATTTTTCTTTAATATTTTTTAATATCTATATCGTCGTATATATGAACTTAAAACTAGTACTCCACGAAACAGACAAAGTTATGGATGGGTAGCAGATAAAGGAACCAAGTCAAAGAATTTCGCACATTCCTGAACGATCCTCTTTCAATTGGTCTCAGTGTCCAAATATTTTAATATTTTATTCTCAAATAAGTTCAAGATCAGGGATGGACTGAGGGCGGGTGAGAACAATTATCCTCTTAAAAATTTAAAATTATCAGATATTTTAAATTTTTTCTATGTATTTTATATTGAAAATATGTTTCCGTCCTTAAGATTTTAGTTCACCTCCTAACGTAAAATCATGCATCCATCCTCCTCAGTACAAAGATTCTAGCAATGAATAAATCGCCACCGGTCTATTACTCTCGTAAGGAGGCATGCATTGTATCACTTTAGGCGGAATATAATATTTTCTCGAACTAATGTCACCCTTTGCCATTAAAATCACTCCTTGATAATTCTTAATTTTTTTTATTAGTTATTATTGATTTTAGGTCATTATTAAGTTTATAAATATGAACTTTATTCCATCTTGTAACAAGCTACGTGTTAAACATTTTTGTAATTCGTGAATTATGTACATTGACTTTACCAAAACATCCCAAAAACTACTGATCTACCAAGAAATCTAATTTGTTCTTTACGGCAATGTATATTTTTTGTCAATAGTTTCAAATTTTAATCCTACACGACATTTCTTTGGCTAAATATGTTCTCATTAACCAGGGATGGATGTAGGATTTGATGTTAGAGAGAATGAATCTAAACTTATAACATTTTAATGGGATGAATAAAATTTTAGAGAAACGAAAACATATTATTTTAATAAAAATAAATTTTTTTTTAAAATATATAATAATTTTATATTTTTAGAAAGTGCGACCGCCCTCCCTTATCCCGTGTACATCCGTGCCATCCTCCATATTTCATAAGATGGGCAAATCGACTCTGCAAATTTGACAGCTACTCCATATTCTTCCATCTATATTAATATTAAAATTAAAATGTTAGTTAAGGATGATGTTCTCAATTAATTTAGAATTTTAAACTAGCTTTGTTCTGAATTATAATTAATAGTGTATATTATTGTTATTATTTATATTTTTATATAATCTTTAAATAATTATTTAAAAACATTTTTTTAAATATTAGATGCGTGTTTAATAAGACTTATGTAAGAAATTACAAAACATACTTTTACATATTTTTAAAATAAAATCTAATATATTTAACTTTTCTATTGAGGTTTATTACATATCTTTTCCCATCAATATTTCTTGGGGGTGGTTCAAATTTTGTCTTTTAAAACTTCGAAAGGGCAAATGTCTCTCTCTATTAACTTATATTATTTTGATTTCCTTTTAGTTTTTTTTAAAATATTTATGTTTGATAGATTTTGAGTAGATGACTGACGTCAATGAAAGATATGATATATTATATATTTGGAAAGCTTTTTATTTTATTTTTATTAATTTAAAGTGATTATAAGATAATATTTGTTCGAAAGATTTTCAATCATTTGATAATAAATATTTAAATACATTTGTAAACGTCGTGCTCAAACTTATTTTTTTGTGATAACATTTATCCCTTAACTACTGAGGGGGTGTTTGGTTTAAGGATTGTGGGATTCCTATGGGATGAGAATCCCACATTCCTATGTTTGGTTGGCCGGGAATCTCATTCCCAGTAATGTTTTATTATCAATAGTAGATTTTTTGGGATATATTACCGGGAATGTCATTACCTCTCTTCCTTTAGGTATTGTAACATTACCGGTATTTTGGACTAAAATGCCCTTAAATTATTATTTTTTTTCAAAAATATTATTCTTCTGTCATTGAATAATAAAAATTCTACGAATGTTAAATTACAAATTTATCCTTAAATTATTTTAGATTTACAAAAAAAAGTCTATAATTAAAATTTTATATTAAGTTCAGGGGTTAAAAAAATTATCCTTTCATTAAACCTTTTTTATATTTTTAATTTTGTAAAAAAAATATAAATATTATGAATTTAATTTTTTTAAAAAAATATATAAATATTTTACGATTTGTAATATTATACAAATATATAATAAGGACAATTTGGTTAAATATACATTCCAATAATCTTTTATTCCTTTAACCAAACACGATAATCTTACATTCCTGCTAAACCAACCAAACACAAAATACAACATTTCCTGTAATCATATTCCCTGGTAATCTTTTATTCCCACTGGTAATCTTACATTCCGTGAACCAAATGCACCCTGAGAGTTTTTTATTCGTGCTATAGTTGAAAAGTTTAAATGTTCTTTTAATAGTATTTGTTCAAAATGTTTATAATTAATTAAAAATGTATATACTCTACAAATGTAAGTATTCAAACTTAAAATTATTTTAAAAAATAATATTTTTTATTACTGAAATCGCTTTAATGATTTGAAAAGCTTAAATGTTGCAGTAGGAAACATTTGGCATACACCTTGCTTACGGACAAACTATAGCTAGGCCGCCCATAGAATTTGATTATTCATAAAGCTCTTTTTCCTTGCACTGTATATAAATAATATCCTAAAAAGCAAAAGAAGTAAAGGGAATTGTTGCACAGACCAATTTACTTCGATCGTTAGAAAAATTATTATCATTTTTAAAAGTTATGAATTTGAACATCAACCATTATAATAGATTGATTGAATATTCATACATAAAACATTAAAATTACATTAATTTAAATAATTATATTAAATTCATTTATTGATGTAAAATATGATTAATATATTTATATTATAACAAATTCATACATAATAAAATTTTAATTATAATATATATTGAGTAGTATGAAATGATTACAAGTTAATATTTATCTATATTATTTTTTGTCGTTAATTAATAATTCATATATTCTGCAAATATAATTACTTGAACACAAAACTTTTAAGATTTTATGAAGAATAATACTTCATTTTTTCATTGAGATCATTCAATGAATTCATAAATGTATGTGTAACTTATATAAATTATATTTTTATGTAAATAATACAAGTTGTATCTCAATCTTATTATTAATTTAAAATAATATTGATCGAAGCTAATATTATAGTCAAACTAATAGAATTTTGGTTAAAGTACATAAATAGTCCCCCGGCTATAAGATACTACTTTATTAAGCCCATTAACTATTTAAAGTTATAAAATGATCTTCCGACTATAGAGTGTTGTTTTGTTGAGCCCATCGACTATCAAAAGTTACAAAATGATGAACCGTCTATTCATTATCTCTAAACTTTCCTTTTTTTCATTAAAAATTTAGTTGTTTTCTAAGCTTGACGTTAACATGATGACTTGAATGTAATAATTGTTTGAGATTCTGAGATAAGATTTTATCATATCACTGTCAGCAAGTTAACGTTCTTATTAGAATAATGTTAAATTTTAACCAAAAAAATGATGAGTTTAAAATATAATAAATAGTCGGGTGATCGTTTTGTAATTTTTTATAGTCAAATGACTCAACAAAACAAAATTATATAATTAAAATACCATTTTATAATTTTTAATAATCGAAAAACTATTTGTATACCTTACCCTAAGATTTCCTACGTACGAAAATAATTCAAGCCGTGAATTGCTCCATTACATTTCTAGCATGTTCGTTCTTTGCACTCTTTGCGGTTGCACGACCCCACCCTCTACCGTACCATGTGCTGCACACTTGGGACGTTTACCCATGTACCTTTCCACGTACCATATTACACCCAACTTTCTTTTATTTCTTTATAATCGCGAGTGATGATCCACTATTTAATTAATTTAAATTAAATATTGTTAAAAAATGTTTTTAATTTAATTTACTTTATTCGTGATATTAAAATCTAAGCTCTGTACTTCATTTTATTTAAATACATGTGTGCCTCAATATCTCAAACGCAAATCATTCACCCTCATTTCTTCTTCTTCTCGTACGTAAGACAATAGCAGAAGCAAGAGCACCACCGTCTGCAACACCATCCGCCACCTCCGCCTACGCCACATCAAGGACAAGATTGTAATGTGAAGATGGAAAATCAGGATCTTTCCCCACAACAACACATGGATGCATCTAGGCCGTCTCTCGGCTTACCCCTCGGCACTGCTCTCCTCTTACTTGTCATTTTCAGCTTAAGCGGAATCTTCTCCTGCTGTTACCACTGGGACAAGCTCAAATTCCTCCGTGGATCTTTCGACGACGACGCTGCCGCCGACGGTGCTGATATTGAAGCTTCCCACTTCAAACCCAAGCCTAACGAAACGGTAAAAAAAACAATATTACAACTAAAAGCAACCTTTGTCAGAAAATGGATTTTAACATAGTTTTTTTTGCTGTAATTCAGGATGTAAAGAAGAACCAGAGGCAAAGCTTGCCGGTTCTAATGCCAGGAGACAATATTCCGAAGTTCATAGCATTGCCTTGTCCCTGTGAACCTCCACGAGAAGCTAAGGTTGTAATAGAAGTACAACAGACACCCAAGTCTCCTCGTTTTCCAGTTCCTTTGTATTAGGAGATTCAATTTTGTTGTAAATAGTTGATTCCCCCGGTGTAGAACATCAGGTAAATTTGTAAATATTGGAGTAGTAAATTTATTTATGCCATTATTTGCATCCATTTAAAGCATTGATTGTATCGAAATTGAGATTGGTGTTTAGATTCACTGTAAATAACTCTTGCGGGTGAACTGAGGAATCAGTGCATGACTCTTGTCCAGAAATTAAGCAGATCCGTGGGTGTCTTTCTGGACAAATTTTCTTTTTGTTACAGAGCTTACAAGTTAAGCAACGTAAAGTTGGCAATTTTTTTAACTTCGTATTAATTAATTCGAATAGACCTAAATTGTATATCTAATTTTGATAAATGAATTTTTAAATAAAAATTTTCTACGTACATTAAAATTTAAACTCGAAACATATTTAAACGATATCAAATTATTTATTATTTGAAGTAACCTCTTAATTAAATTTGGTTGGTAATAATACCTAATTTTCTGTACCGACAAATTTAGTGTTTAAAAAACAAAGATGAACAAAACCCCCTAGAAGTTTCCTCTCATGTCCTGATTTTTTTACTCTCTTTTATTCATCAGTAATAAAGATTTTTCTTTCAAATTTGAATAATATAAAGATAGAGAAAAAAGAAAAAAAAATAGTATATATGACTGGATGTACAATTAAAGGTTTTAATTAAATTTTGTTTATTTCAAAAGGAAAATAAAATTAAAAAATAAAAGAAAAAAAGAATATTTTAATATTAATTATATATATTATTTCGTACGAATTAAACGATTTAGGTGACAAATAAATTATTATTATTCTTTGAGATTTTAATTTCAAATATCAAGAATACTATAAATATTAACGTTAAATATTAAATAGTTAAAAATTATCTTTAAATATATATTATTTTATAATTACTTTAATAAAAAATTATATATGTATATATATATATATATATATATATAAGTCACTTCGGGTGCCACAAATTAAGGCGTTGTCCATTTCCCCCTCCCCATGTGACCTAATTTCACTGTTTTGAGCATTAAGCATCAGATACGACTTTCACATCATTATATTTGTGTTTTTTCTGGAGGAATTCTGATAGATGATATACGGAAGATGTACATATTTTGAAAAAAAATCAAAGGTAAACTATATGGGTGATCAACGAATTATGATCATCAATCAATTTGACAACTAATATTTAAAAACGATCAATCAGATCATTAAACTATTTAAATCATTCAATTAAGTCAATGACCATTATTTTTTAACGAGATGATGACGTGGAAGTTAATAAAATTGACATAATTATATATTTGATCATTAATATTTACATATTCTATTAATTTAGTCACTATTTTAATTTAATTAAATAAATTTGACCTCCAATCTGGAGATACCACGTGTCACTATATGATTGTAAGGTTAATTTAATTAATTTTAATATTTTAATTAAATAAAATTTCTCACCAATCATGTGGTGACACGTGTTACCACTGATTTAAAGGGAAAACAAATTGAAATAGAAAGGAGCTGCTGAGGGTCCCTGGGCAAGCTTTTGCCACTGAGCTATGCCATCTGTTTGGTTATAAAGTGTACAATATTTTATATATTTGTTTGAGATTATTTCACACAAGCATATATACATATATATTAAATTATTAAAACAGATCTAATAAAATTTATTTCATACATATATTAAATTTTAGTCAATGTAAGACTTAAAATAAAAACGAGTTTAATATTTTTTAATTAAAATATTTTTATTTTGTGATTTGGATTCTCTAAATAATTTTAATATAATTTTATTTTTATATAATTTATATATTATTATTTAAAAATAATTGTAAAAATAATTCAAATAACAATATTAAACTATTTTTATTTTGTGGTTTGGATTCTCTAAATAATTTTATTTTAATATAATTTATATATTATTATTTTAAAAGAATTGTAAAAATAATTTAAATAAAAATATTAAACTCGTTTTTATTTTTAAGTCATACATTAACTATAATTTAATATATATATATATTTATATATGTATGAAATAAAATTTATTAGATTTATTTTAATAATTTAATATATATGTATATATACTTATATGAAATAATCTCAAACACAATATATAAAATATTATGCACTTTTTAACCAAATAGATGACTTAGCTCAGTGGCAAAGGCTTGCCTAGGGACCCGTACAATTCCCCAAGTAGCTCCCTTCTATTTCAATTTGTTTTGCCTTTACATTGGTGGTGAGTCACCGTTTGATTGGTGAAAAAATTATTTAATTAAAATATTAAAATTAATTAAATTAATCTGTTAATTATATAGTGACACGTGACATATCTAGATTAGAGGATTAAATTTATTTAATTTAATTAAAATAGTGATTAAATTGATATAATGTGTAAATATTAATAATCAAATATATAATTTTGCCTATTTTATTAATTATCACATTATCACATATGTTAAAAATTAACGGTAAGTTACTTGATTAAATGATTTAAATAGTTGGGTGATCTGATTGATCACTTTTAAACGTTGGTGGTCAAAATGGTTGATGACCATAGTTCAGTGATCACATATGTAGTTTACCCAAAATCAAAACATATAATTAAACAAATTTTTTATTTTTAAACAAAAAGAATATAATTATTAAAAGAGTTACTGATTTATTTAAAATATATTTATACAATATTATTTATATAATAAAAATATACGAATTTTATATGTAAAAATATAAATCTCATGTATTACATTTTACGACCAACCACCTACAAAACAGATAGTTCTGTTGTATGGTAATTTTAATATACGATTAAATATCTTATCATAAATGTTAATAATTTTTTAATATTTTTAATAAAACGCTACTTAAAATATTTTTTATAAGAAATTTTAATTTCGTTACCTAATTTTCGATAGAAAAATAAAATTTTAAATAAAAATAATAATATTTTAAATAACGTTTTATCAGAAATATTAAATATTTTAGATAACGTCTAATATTGATATTTTTTATATAAAAAATAATATTTTAAATAATACTTTATCAAAAATATTAAAATAATATTAATATTTTCGATAGATATTTTATTAGTTATATATTAAAGATGCGTACCTTAGACAACCTCCTTACCAAATACCAAAAAACTGATTATGAATAGTAGTAGATTGGACATAGGATGCTCAGAAAGCAGCATGATGTGGTCCACCATGTTCCCTAATGGTAATTATATTTTCAAAGAAATTTGGATGATTTTTTTTTTGGATTTTTGTAAACGTACGGATGATAAGCATTCCATTTTGTGGGACCCATGTCTGACACAAAATCACATGGCGTACACCATAGAGCTTTTCATCTTATTTCACAATTCGAAATATTTACTGTTTCATATATATATTTTTTCTTTAACGTTTTTCTTTTAATGTTATGAACAAGTTTTTTTTTATAAAAAATTAATATTTTAAGTTACACGTAATCTAAAATATTATATTTATTTAATATTTTAAATCGTATTTTTCTTTAATCTTGTATTAAGCTGATGTATCATAGAACTTTCAATTTTATTTTCCTAATCTAAGGTTTTAAATCTTGTTCTAATCAAATCGACTTAATCGCTGTGGCAGTGTTATTTTTTATGTCTACTCTCATTTGATTTATGGTTAATTTCTACATATTTTTTCCTAACTATGTTATATGATAAAAATAAGCTTAAGGGTATAGAATGATGCAATTTAGAAAGTTCGGGGGTTAAATTGATACGAAAATACGATAGGACGAAAGAGATAAATTGGGTCTACTACAAGGACAAAAATTATCCTTTTACCTAATAAATTATCATAATATTTTATATGTTTCAAATTAATAAGATTGTATATCAATGTGGTTGATTTAAGTGGTTAGCAACTTAAAATCGCTTATGCAGAGCTTGAGTTTGAGTCATTGTGTATGTAAAATATCCTTGTTGTGAGACTCACCCACCAAAAACAAGTGTATCCGAATTAGTCTAGACGAAGTCTTGAAACTGTGAGGGCAACAACAACAAAAAATAATAAGGTTTTATATTTTATTTATCAATTTAATATAATATTTCTGTCGCTAAATATTTTACAATTTTTTAAAATATAATTTAAGTGAATCAATGAACCAAAGCCTACTTGCTTTAGAGGAAGTTGTAGTGGAATTCCTATAAAAATGTTAGGCATGTGTGTATATTTATTGAATTAAAAAACAATTTATTAATTAAAGTTTATTTTCTTCTTCTTTTAGTATTACGCAATTAGACAACTGATTAGAGTTAGGAGATGGGCTGATTTGATTCATTATGGTTGGGCTGAGCTTTCGTCGAAGTATTTGGGTCTATCGCTAGGGAATCGAAAGAATTCAAAGGTTATTTGGCAGCCCGTCCTAGACAAAATCGGATATCGACTTCAAAGTTTGAAAGGTAAATTGCTCTCTTTTGGTGGAAGATTAACTTCGATCAAATCTGTTTTAGTAAATCTGCCAGTGTATTACATGTCTACATTCTCAATGCCTAAATCCATAGCTAAGCACATAAATAGATGCATAGCGAACTTCGTTTGGATTTCTAAGTCTGATAGGAATATTCATTGGATTAGTCGGGACAATATTTATAGACCATAATCACATGAGGAGTTAGGTATTTTTGATGTCAAAATTAGAAATCGTGCCTTGCTTAATAAATGATTTTGGAGGTTTAGTGTGGAATATGATAGCTTATGGCGGAAGTTAGTTGTAGATAAATACAATTATGATAAGGATTAGCTCTTTCCTAAAGCTGTCAATAATAACAAATGCTCTTGGATATGACATAATATTACTAATCTGTCGGGGGTCTAATCAGTCGAGCTTTTTTGAAGATTGGAGGTGTGTAATGGGATGAAGATTGATTTCTGGACAGACTATTGGACAGAAAAGGTGTGTTTGAAAACCGCTTTTTCGAGAATATTCAGTATAGCGGTAAAAAAAAGCGAAAAAAATGCGAAAAAATTAAAGATTATGGGTGTTGGGTTAACGGTGTCTGGGAATGGAGAATTGAGCTGAGAAGAGCTTTCTTTGAATGGGAAAAGCCAATGTGGAGTGAATTCTTGAATGTGTTGAACAGAGCCATTAGTATCGAACAAGGTTTAGACAGGTTAATATGGGCTGAAACACGGGATGAGTGTTATAATCCGAAATCTTATTGTATAAAAACGGCTTGCGTCGGTAATTCTGAAGACCTAATTTGGAGATTGGTTTGGTTCAAATTCGTTCCACTGAAGGTTTCCGGCTTTTTGTGGAAAGTAGTCCACCAAAGATTGCCGGTCATGTCTGAACTGGAAAAAAGAAGGGTCAACTGTGGTGATCAATCTTGTTGCCTTTACTACAAAAGTGAGCCGGAAACAGTTGATCATGTTGTATCATTGCTCTGTAGTTTGGAAAATTTGACGACGTTGGTGTAGTGTGTGGAAAGTAAATCTAGTTTTCCCGCTAAATGTTAAACAATTATTAGAGACTTGGTTCTCTCAAAGAATTCGAAGGAGAGTTCGAGTCTTATGGCAACTGGGTTTTTTTCGGTTTCAGTTGGACAATTTGGTTGAGCAGAAATAGAACCAGATTCAATGGTGCTTCTCTTTCGATAGATCAGATCTTTTATAAAGCTATGCTTCAGATAGATCTTTGGGCGAATTATTTATGGCCGACTTTGCTCCCATCGGTTAATGATTTTGTATGTAATCCGGAAGCCATTGTGAGTGGTGTTTGTTGATTCATCAACTTTGTTGTTAGCTGGTTCATTTCGTTATCTTTGCATTAACAGTTAGACGCTACTCCGTTGTTAAAATGCAAAGTAATCACCTCTCTTGATTTAGCCTTCAAGCTGCTAATTCGCAAATGGCCCTCTCCTTTGGAGTATTCCAGGTTTATTTTTCTTTTTTTCCTTCAGTTCTTGTTTGGGTTTTGTGATGGAGATTCTTTTCTGGTATATTTTCATTATGGTTCGGTGGTAGCCTGCTTTCGCTGGTATTAGATTCGTTGTCCTGATTTACAGTTAAGTGTGTTTTGCTTTGTTTTTGCATTTGTTGTGAGTTTGAGGGTGTTAATGCGTCAGGGGTAGTTTTTGGAAGGGGAAAGTACTATCTCTGCTGGTTTCTGTAGGTGCTAGGCGAGGTTGAATTCTTGCCTGCTTTTGCTGCTATCCTATCGGGTTTGATGTCCTCGCTTTAGGGGCTTGTCTGTCTGCTTCTGTTCTTGTTTCAGTTTGCGATGGTGGGGTTTTCTGCACGTTCCTTGCAAATTGCTGCACTGGTTTGTTAAGAATCGAGCGATGTCGATTGACTGCTCCGGTTCAGGGAATTCTGCTCCTGTAGGTCGGTTTCGTGGTTTCGGCTGCTATTGTTTACATCTTTATATGTATGAAGAGTCATTTCAATATTACACTTTTATGTTCACGTCAAAGCGCATTTTTTTTCCTCTAAATAAATTTAGAGAGATTTTTTAACTAGACATTTAGTTGTGACGTACTTTGTTGGTTACGACTTTTCAATACAAATTACATCTTTTTACAAAAGAAAAACTTTTCTAATCCATATCCTTAAACCAAATCTAAACGTTGTCTTCTTTTTCCGTACGTCTCTACCTTGATTTTCCATGGTTGAAGTTTTATTGTTGCAAAATTAAGTTCAGTTTCGATTCTTTTTCCTTTTGAAGGTCAAGTTTGAATTAACGGTGAAAAATCTTTGACTCGACAAGAGATAATATAATAGTTATCTATAACATTTTCAAAAATAATTGTAATAAGATATCCACTCTATATATATATATTTCAATTATATCTTTATTTTATCAAATAAAAATTTTATATACCAGGTTGAGTCAAGTACGAGTATGAGATTTTACTTAAAAATTAGATCAAATTTTAGATTAGGTAGAAACTTCTTAAATTCGGATCGGATCAGATAATCGATGGATGGGGTAAATTCGATTCGACATCTCAAAGTTAATGTTACAATATAATGTTCTAAAATAATTGTTGGTTTGGATAAAAGAATGTATTTATGTGTGAATGAACAAACTCATGTCTAAAAGTGATTCTCCAAGCTAGAAATAAAGAAGAACTCATATCTATATTTTATAAAAAATAAAATGATGAAAGATAAGGGGGGAATGAGATGGAGAAGAGTAAAACCAGAAACAAGTCGTGTTGTTAATGAGTTGAGTAGCTCGTGAGTAGTTCAAATTCGATTCAATCAAAACTCGATAAAAGTTCGATTCAAGTTGACTCGACTCGAGACCTTAACAAGCTAAATCGAGCAAAGTCCAACTCGACTCAATAAGTTCGCGAGCAACTTGTTAATTTTTATACCTTTTTAGTAGTTATCTTAAAAAATTATTTCATTTAAAAATTACTAATTTACTAATACATAATAAAAAAAGATGATAAAATACTAATCTATTAATTTTCTAATAAATAATTAAAAATCCTAAATTATCAATTAATAATCATTATTTTACTACACCCAAATATCAAGTCCTAATTGTTATTTTAATGTATTTATGATTGTTATTTTGGTGTTTAGACTTGGAATTTTTTTCATACATTCTTTTGATATTTTTTGGTTAAGTTTATTCATTTATGTTTATATTAAATTCTATATAGTATTAGAAGATTCTACGTATAGTTAAAAATTAAAATAAAAAAATCGATGAGTTTAACGAGTAATGAGGCGAGCAATTAGGTGAGCAATGAGTAGAGCAAAATTTTTAACGAATAACGAGTTGAGTTTAGCAACAAAATATTTTAACAAGTACTATCCAATTCCCGATCGACTCGCTCAATAATCACCTCTAGAAATGCTTAAGAGCTTTGGAGGAGGGCAGAATCCCACATCGGTAAGCAAGGGAAACGCCACTTGACCATCTTTCATAAATTAAAGCACAAATGATCTGTTTTCTTCTTTTTCACCATGTTTTTTTTGAATGGGGTGTTTTCTATTATAAAGGGCATACATATAAACATGATAAAAACATGTGTTTCATTAAAAAAATCTCCCTAAATTTAAGTCGATGAAAAAGAATATATCATGAAAGTATCGAAATGATGAACACCGATAAAAAAAAATAATGTTTTTCTTTTTAAAACAGTACTGAATTATCAAATATTATGATTCTTTGTAGTTAATTCAACACAACAATAAAAAGAATTTATAACGACGAGTTCAAATGTTTTTCTTTTTGATTATTAAGATTGAATTAGCAAATAAAAGCAAGACATTTGAACGCTCTCGATATACCACTTTGGCCGGCCGGAGTGTAGAAATGCTAGGCTCTACTTGGCAGCTTCAAAATCGACCCTCATCAGAAGGTTTCAGGAAAGTGGTTGAGAATAAGAATTCTCTGTTTCATTTTAATAAGATTATTCAATGAAATTGGAAACAAACGAACTGATTTCATAAACGAACCAAGTTAAAATACTTTAGAGCTGAAAAGAAGTCGTCAATGTCTGAGAGCTCTACATTTGAGTAATATCCCACATTCCTAAGCAACAGAGAAGTCCACTCCACTATCTTATATATATTAGAGCACAAAAGTATTAGAAAAATTCAGAGTCTTGCATCTCACAATGCTTTCCTTCTTGTACCGAGAGAGATAATCGAGAAAGAAATGTATTAAAGTCCTCCCATTTATTTTGAAATTTCAATGCACAAACATTCTAAGGATCTCATTGACAATGATTAATTAAAATATGTATAATGAAGGATTAGTTGTGTAAACAGTATTTTATTAAATATTTTGCTTCCTCTAATAAAACTCAAAGTGATTTTATCATATATAATAATATAACGCCACGAACAATGTCAGATTCATCTCTCCTGGAATAATTTTCTTGCAGACTTGGAGTTTGCTTGGAGATGAAGTGACCTTTAATCATTATCTCTCTCGGGTGGACTCAGTTGAAGATGGACCGGGACATTTGAACCCTCTCCACACCCGAAACCATATGAATTCAGGCCATTTGCATAAACCTGAGTCATAAACCCTAATTGATTAACTCATTGGACTGAGTTTTAGAAGACCGTATCCATCAATACTGATGGATATACCTTCTTGTACAATTCCATGTTTTCACTCTGCGAATAAGATTTACCTTCTTGTAGAGCTCCACATTCTCCTGATGAATGAGGTTCCCCTGAAACAAAAAGTTGAAAGCGAAATGTAAGTAAACAATTGAAGTGATTCAATCTTGAACAAAAATGTAACTAAAACTCAGCTAGGGTTGTTTTTGAATGACCCTTCGGCTTAGCTCTTGTATTTCATCAGTTAATATCTGTTCCTGCAAAAGTTTTTTTTTTAAATAAGCATATGTCAAGTTTACTGCCATAAGATCATGCATGGAAATTGCTTGAAAAACTGGATTTTTTGTTACCTTCTTCATGCGAACACCCTTCAAACTCATCTCCAGTTTGTTCTCTAGATTCTGCAGATCTTCAACTCTCAGACCATAAAGCTGTTCACCCCTGAGCTGCCTGGTTTATGTCAGATTTTAAGACGCCGGTCAATCACCATGTCTTTCATATATGATTCCACATCCCATATATATGTGTACATGCGTGTCAGCGTGTGCATATCCACGTGTATACATTTGTATGTATATGTGTACATACAAGTATGTATGTAAGATTGTTTAACAATTTCCACAAGAAAATTACGAAATTTTGAACCCTGTGAACAGTGTACCGATGATTTTCTTGCAAATTCAGCACTTGTTGTCTCAAGATTGCAGCCTCTCTTTGCCAAAACTGTCAAGTAAACAGCAAATCTTAAGTTAATCTAGAACATAAAAACATCTCTCAGGTATTATAGTTGCTGAGATTTTTTCATGTGGATTTTCTTGGAGCTCACGGGCACTGCACCAATGTATTTTTTCCAACAAGTATTTAATATAAGTATGGAGATACGATCCTCTCTCTATATATGAATAAACGTAAAGAAAATTGAACATATTCATATTAAGCACATATTTTATCGTAAGTTGTATGTAATAAAAGGTAGTCGATGTATAGTAAAAATTGGAAGGAAATTTACCTTAACTTCTGATGATGGATTCAACAACTGTTGGTGTTCCTCTTTCAAGCTGTTGTATCTTTCAATAACTGATTTCATGCTGCTATTTTACAAATTATACACAATAAAATAGTGTGAGAACTATCTCAATGATGTAATGTACGAAAAAGAATATGCATCATTGAATGTTCGAGATTTATGATTGTCTCTCCTAATAATATCGCTTCCGAGGTTCAGAATCAAATTTCTATAAATTAACTTCATTTCTTTATATCAATTTTTATGTGGTTTCTGGGGGAGCTATCAAATGTTTGATTATTTTTATTTTTCACTATGAACTTCCCTTTTGGAGAAAATTTGAGGTTATCTAAACGAATGGTTGACATCTAATACATAGCTTAATATGGAAATGTACAGTAATAAAATGCTGAAGTGAGATACAATCCAAGTAGTAGGGTGTTTTATATGATAATTATTTTCATGGTGGGAGCATTCAACTTTATTATTGGATGCAATGCTCTAATCCTAGAAAGTTGAAGCACACCAAAATTGAAACCAATTCTTCCCAATATTAGTGCAGTCGTCGTCATAGAAAAGCACTTACTATTTATTTTTATCCAGGATGATGATCATAAAGAGAAAAAAAAAAAAACCCCACCAATTTCATATCCTTGATATCTCACCAACTTATCCCATTTTGTAATTAACCCTTTTCTTTTGACAATTTCATCACAGGTTCAGTATGAACAATATATATCCAAGCTTGAAACGAAGATCCAGTTTCTGGTTTTTAATAGGTGAAAAAAGACACCCAGGAAATCAGGCCAAAAAGATCAGGTTTGGTTTAATGTTGTAAAAAGAATCAAAACCTGGAACTTGCAAATTCATAGAGCTTTCCAGTGCTGGAGAAGATGAGAAGGCCAACTTGAGCATCACACAGTATGGAGAGCTCCTTGGCCTTCTTAATCAAACCCTTTCTTCTCTTTGAAAAAGTGACTTGCCTGCTCGTCGAATCATCGATCCTTCGGATCACAATCTTCCCTCTCCCCATCCTCCTCCTACCTTGTTTTCTGTAGGTCATCAAAGAAGAAAGATCAAAAACAATCTTAGTGAATAAGAAGTAGAAAATCTGGGGTTGGAAAATGCATAGCTTAAGCCAACGAAGAGCTTTTGGAAACAGGCAACAATGGAGTTTGTTTTTTTCAGTTTGTTTTTTCAGGTTTCAAACTGGTACCTGTTGAAGGCTTTGGACTTGGGAGAACCTGCGAATACTTTAGGGCAACAATGTTGATTTCCTGTCTTCTTTTCTCTTTTAGCATTTTCATGGAGCCGTTGCTCGAATAAGTCGCTGACAGATGGATATATGTATTTAATGCATAATATATCACTTTAGAAATTATATCTATTCAATGTATTAAGTTATCTCTGAATTAAAAAAGAATTGTTATTTGTTTTAAAATATTTAGATTTAAATAATTACGTTTATATGATGTGTATATAATTGATAATTAGGTTTTTTTAAATAGATATTATTTTTAAGTCATCCGATACTATTCACTATATATATATATATAACGGGAAAAATATATTTATTTTGTCAACATTTATTTATGTTTCTCATTATAGCTATGAAATTGAAGTTAATTCCTAGATAAGTCGATGGAGTTAATAGTCAGGAAAAATTCAAGAAAATAATATTTTTTTATAAATTATAAATTTAATTTTAATCGTTTTTAGAGAAGAGGGGAAGAGAGAGCTCTAAGGAGAGGAAAGGAAGTACAATACTACTCTTAATAAATCTAGAATTCGTGACCTAAAGAAATACAAAGACAAAAAATGAAATGTTTTATCAATCAATCAAATGTGTTTGCCTAGAAAAATAATATTATTTTTGATTAAGTTAAATTGATTAAAAATTAATATATGTTTTAAATACTCACAACTATTTGACAATGAACGTCCAATCACCCTGTTGCAGTCTCTAATGTTTGAACTTGTGACCTCTAAGAACATTAATGATTTTTTAACCACTAAGATAAATTGATTCGCTCAGCATAAACACCATTTTTTATCCAAATGTCGAAGGCCTTGTATATTTTCCTTGATTTTATCGTGCTTAATTTTTTTGGCATACTTTTATCAAGCTTCATTGGTTGTTATACATTTCATTTATTATTAAATGTCGGACCAATAAATGTTGAAATTAATCAGAATTTTGCAACTTCAATGTACCTTTTTAGTGTACAAAGGGGTTGGATTTTTTTAGTTGTCTTCGTCTAAAGACAGTTTACTAGAGTTTTAGGGTAAACCATGTTGGTAGTACATGAACTCTCAAGACATTTGTATTTTAGAATATTTTGATGTAATTGAAAGATTGAATGTGTCTTAAAATTGAGCTATACATAGAAAATTAAATGATTTACATATAAATCTTTTATTATTATACTTACAATTATGTATTAAATAGTAAATTAATATAAAGTAGTGGGTCACTCAATAAAGAATATGCACAAAGAAGATGCGCTATACATAAATTATGAATAATTAAGTAGAAAGTGAGGCTTAAGTGGGTGGTCATTCAACGAAGAAGAAGCGAACTGATACGCATAATAATTAAGTGTCGTTAGACACAAGTTGCCATTGGTCAATGGTGAGTTGTTGGACCAATAAGATTCCATGAAGCTTTGCCAGAAAAGCAAGATCTCGAGCTAGAAGAAAATTAGGGTTAGGGTTCGTAGGGGGAAGGAGTTCCCAAAATCCAAAAGAAATAGATAAAGGAGCTTAGCCAGGTGTCAATCATCAACAAATGATGGGTGAACATAAAACCAAGGGCTTGTGGAAATGAACAATTCCCAATTAATTTATCATCCCAACACATGTAAGTGTCACTTTTATGAGCCATCCCACCATTGCCAAACATGAGCTCTTGAGATTTTTAAAGTTGGAGAGTGGGGACATAAATAAAATAAAATAAAATAAAGGGTAAATCACATAAATAATCTCTCGACTATATTAAGTCTCTTAATTACTAAAAGTTTTAAAATGATCCCTTAATTATAGAGTGTTGTTTTGTTGAGTCTCTTAATTAAGAGTTACAAAATGGTCACAAAATCATTCATTATGTTCCAAACTCGTCATTTTATGTTAACATATTGATGATATTATGAGCTGAACATTAAACTTGTAAACGAATCAAACGAACACAAACGAGGGTATGCTCATGTTCATTCGATTAACTTTAATCGAACAAATGAACGAACTTGAACAACTAAATGATTTGTTCATTAAGAAATTTAGCTTGTTCGTATTCGTTCATGTTCGTTCGTTAAAATAATAGACAAACACAAATGAACGAACGAACATAAAATTAATTGGATATATAATTGAGAAGAGTTTTTTTCTTTCCAAATAATTTTAGGATTTATACTTTCTTTAATTCATTCGAGTATTTTTATTTGGATTTAAAAATATTTGGGTTTTAAAATATTAATGGATTTAAATTTAAAATTTATTAGGTCTTAATATTTCAAACGAGTCTATAGATTGAGTTGAATATAAACAAACGAACATAAAGGACATAAACGGGTCTATGGAACGGTTCGTTGAAATATGATCATTAAATCTCAAACGACTATTATATCCTAGTCATGATGTTAACGTCCCGTTTAGACAACTACAAATTTGTAACGAAAAATGATGAGTTTGGAACATAATCAATAGTCGGGTGACCATTTTATAACTTTTAATAGTTGAGGGATTTAATAAAATAACATTCTTTAATCGAATGATCAATTTGTAACTTTTAATAATCGAGTAACTTAATTAAACAATATCCTATAATTGAGTGATTTAATATTTTTATTAAAACTAGTTGACTGACGTTCTGAACCCATTGTATCTTAGTTGAGGATTCTGAACCATAGATTGTTTAACCTGGATGTTTTTGAGTATCTTCACGATTCGCCTTTTGGGATTTATGGTTCTATTCCGTCCATGGTATCACATGGGAAATCTGGAAAAAGTTCTGGGTTTTTCTGGTTGAACGCTGCGGATGCAGATTGATGTATTGGCAAAGGGCTGGGATGCAGAAGATGGAATTCTGATGCCCATTGACCAGAGCCGGATTGATTGTAGATACATTCTTTTTCGTTGGGCCAGAACCAAAGGATGTTGTCAAGCAGTACATCAGTGTGACAGGTATTGGCAAACGGCATATTATCAGTGTAGGTGCAATTACCGTGATGAAGAGATGTGGAAATGTGGACTCCAAGTTGATGAGCATGATATTCAATATGATGTTTTGTGGCTTGATATTGAGCATACTGATGGAAAGAGGTATTTCACATGGGATAAGTTGCTATTCCCACATCCAAAAGAGATGCAAAGAAAATTGGCTGCCAAAGGTAGACATATGGTGACAATCGTGGATCCTCATATTAAGAGAGATGACTCATTTCACTCGCACAAAGATGATTCTGAAAGGGGATATTATGTTAAGGATGCAACTGGCAAGGATTTTGATGGATGGTGTTGGTCTGGTTCCTCATCTTACCCAGATGTGTTAAATCCTGAGGTTAGGCCATGGTGGGCTGAGAAATTTTCTTATAAGAATTATATTGGTTCAACACCTTCATTGTACATTTGGAATGACATGAACGAGCCTTCTGTGTTTAATGGACCGGAGGTATGCCGCTTTTGTTAATTCTGTCTTAACTTCTACCTATTCATGTGTTTTTCTTTTTGTTGCTTTCTTATCCTGTTTTGCATTATTGGTGATAAAGTATCTAATCCTTGTTCTTTTTTGCTGTTAGCTATCATTCAATTATATGTGCTAGCTTATTGTTGTCCACCTACATGGATCCAAAACTATTAAATTAAGAGGGAGAAGAGGGGAATTAATGTAATTATCATTCAAGGGAAAAGTGTAGAGAGTGGGGGAAAAGTAATGAAAAGAAGAAAGAGGAAAAGATAGTTTCAGCACTTAATAGGAAGGTTATTTTAATTCAAACTAATGGATTAAATTACTATAATGACCACTATAGCTTAGTATAAAGACTTTAACCACTATGGAAAGTGGAAATGACCCTACTTGCAACCTATTTTTGAAGGAAACTTGTTAATTATAAGAATACACATTCTCATATTCTTTGGTCCGTTTCTGGTATTGGGAAAAATTACTTGTCTATGAATAATATGCTTATTTATAGATGCTATTTTCTCTTCTATGAAAATATTTATTTTTTTCCCAAGTGGCTGAGTTTATTGTTGTTCCTTTTTCCCTTGCAGCATGTCCATTGACATTTTGTCTGATAGGGGCTATTGTGGTCTACCCTGTTGTTTGGCATGATATATTTGTTCACTTGTTTGCATATACTGTTAAACTAGTTTAGAAATGGTAATAAGTGGCCATGTTCTATGTAGATAAATGTACTTAAAATAGTACCATGATTTTCTAACTAATGTTATCTGATTTAGCTATAGTTCTTTAAGTTGGGTGCTTAAGTTTGAGGATATTCATGCATATATGTCCTGTGAAAACTATTCTGTGATGAGTTTGTTCTTTAATAAACATCTCTTTTTCTTTATAAATTTTTTGTTTAGATATTAAAGGCATGGTTGGTTGGTTATCATAAAAAAGTTTCATATTTTCTGAACTAATTACAGAAAAACATTTCCTCTGTGCATCCAATGTTCGGAATGGGAAAGCATGTTTGCAATCATTCTACCTTTCTTAGTAATAACTTGAGAACTACATTTCCATGAAGATGGAGGTGAAGTTAATTCTGAGTAAATATTTATGGTGTCTAGACTTCAAAAACCTTGGAAATATGTTGATTTTTTTCTTTTTGAAAATTTCAATCACGCCTTTATCTTATATATAGATGTATGCACTCCCATAAAAAACTGCATAGGGGCAGGTAAATTTGACTAAACTTTTTCTGTGTGTAGGTGACAATGCCCAGAGATATTTTACATCTTGGTGGAGTGGAACATCGGGAGTTACATAATGCCTATGGATATTACTTCCACATGGCAACAGCTGATGGCCATG